ATCCCATCTCTGGGTGTCTCCCTGGTGTCTCAGCAACTATCCCACTGCCTTGCACAACTGCAGTGAATGTTACCCTGGTGAAACCTCTTTAGGTGGGTCTGGAGACGCCAGAGGCTTGTTCTGAAACTGTTGTCCCATGAGACAGCCAAGTGAACCAAGGGCACATGCTGCTATTCCACCAGCAAGAAAGGCCGCAGCCTGAATCTTTTTTTTTCCCCCTTGAGTCTTTTATTTTGAGTTCTTACAAAAACAGGAACAACAAAACACAGAAGCCATAACCAGAGGAATTGGCTTGGGGTCAGCAGAGACCAAGTGCATGGGCCGAGCACACCCTTGGCCTCACTGGGTCTGCGCAGCCTGAATCTTTTTAAGCTGCTTGGCTTAGTGCTCTGGCCCTGCTGGGCCACTGCCTCCCTGAAGCCTACAGTAAGATGCTGGGTTGGTTTCGCCCTCGTGAAGCTAACCTGCAGGGTGGGTAGCTGCAGTCCCACTGGAGACCTGGAGGTTGTCTTGGTTGTCATTTCTAACTGCAGACCCTACTGGGCTTTTAAAATATTGTCTGCTTTTTTGTGGTAATTCCTTCTTTGCTAACCAAGCTTCCCTGCTGCCGCAGGGTTGCTGAGGGATGAGGATCCTGGCAGAGGAATGGGCAGCCTGCTCTGTAAGAGCCACAGCCCCGCTGGCATGGTCCAGACCCATCCTGAGTGTACACATGCAGCTACGAGAAAATGTCCCTGAGATTTAGTTATTTCTGCCCATTTCAGTAAGAGAGAGGGGTCTGTTTTCCCCTGTAAACTTGGAGAATATTGCAGGGGTTTTTGTTAGGAGAAAAAAAAAGCTCCCTTCTCATTCCCTTGAGCTGCCTGTTTCTGATATCTGTGCCTGTCTATAAAAGGAGATTTCAATGGGGTCGGTCCTGGCATCTGCGGCTGGTCCCCCGTCTGGCTCACCACACCACTTCCCTCTGCTGGAAGCTTATTTTCTAAAGCACACTTACCACCAGACTTTAGTGACCACCAATGTCAGCATCTATCAATGAAGCCTCGGGCCCTCAGAGCAGCCGCCTCAACTTCCAGTTGGGTGTTCACTTGGTTTGGAGTTGGTGGTGACTGGGGAGGTGTAAGGAAGCCGTGGGTTGGTGCTGGGCAGGCTGATTCTCAGGTGCCAGGCTGTGGTTCCCACAGGCCCACTGGGCATCAGAACCTCTACTGGCTCCAAGGAGTGGAAACTGCAAGGCACTGTGGAAAAATAAAGTGCTGGCCCTCCCTCTGCGGAAGACTGACACGCCAAATGCAGAGGCGTAGCTCAGTGGGATAGCACTTGCTGGCATGTGTGAGGCCCTGGGTTCCATCTGCAGCACAGACAAAACCCGAAACCCTTGTCCAGGGGTTTGCACCCCCTAAGCACTAGGGCTGGGCCTGAAACCCAGGCAGTTCCCCAGAGGTGGGCCCTCAAAGCCAGATGACACTGCCCAGGCTCAGGGGTATGGCTGAGGTCAAATGTCTGGCTCCAGGGGAAGAGGAATGGCTAAAAAGTGTCCCCGTCCACTTTCAGATGGCTTCAATTGTCAGAGTGCTGTGGTTACAGGGAACCGACGCCTGCCTCCCAAGGCTTTGCGGTATGATACTTTATTTTTAAATGAAGGTCTGCAGGAAGTTGCAAAGATGGTACAGAGGACTCTGGGGTACCGTTCCCTGCTTGCCCCATAGTAATGACAGGACAGTGTCTGTCTGAGCTGAGAAGAGGGCAAGTTGGGCAGCCAGCCTTCTCCAAGCCAGTCTTCCCCCAGGAAGGGCTTCCTGCCTGACTCAGGGCGACTCTCACCCTGAACAGAGCCGAGGACCAGCTAGGCTGGGGGTTTTCTTCCCGCTGGGCTTAGTCTAGTATCTGCATATTTTCTGCTGGATGGGATCAAACCTGGGCCTTGGCCTTCAGAGCTGCTTCCACCTAATCCCCAAGTGGTGACATTTATTCATTCGGTCAGTCACCTACTGAATGCCAGGCACCATTCCCAGGAATTGAGGCCAGAAACCTTTCTCCTAATTGGGGCCTTCAGGGTTTCTCCTTGTTTTCTGAAGGTGGGAAGAAAAAGGTCTACGAAGCCCTGACTAGGACGGGTGTGAGCCAGGACTCCAGGCAAGGGTGATTAACTGCCTCGGTGGCATCAGGAAAAGACGTCACTGAGCATTCTGTTGTCCAAGCCTAGTGGGAGGCTGCCAAAGGGACTGGGCAGAGACAGCTGCTGGGGGAAGAAACGGCAAGGGTGCTGGGGCCCTGCAGGTGTGGGGCAAGGGCGTAGCCCCAGGAGCTCTGGCAACAGCCTCGCAGACGAGAGCATTTCAATAGGAGGAGACCACCCTGCTAGTCAACTGCCAGTCACAGCCACGTCTCTCAAAGGACCCTGGCCACCCACGGGAAACACAAAGGCAAGTGTCTGCAACCTACTCCCCGTCATTTAAGAACCCTGTAGAATGTTCTGTGTTGATTAGAACAGAGCCTCTGCTCTGCCAGGATGAATGAGCTCAGTTTTGCCCTGAGTGGGTGAGGTGACCTGTTGGGAGGGTGATTTAAGGAGGTTCATTTTCTGTCGCAGAATGCCTGCCAAGTGCCGCAAAATTGGTCTCTGTAGAGCTGATGCCAGGCTGCTCTGAGGGTAATTAGCCCGTGGTTTCAGCTGCTTCCTCAGTCCTGTGTTGGGGACAGTAGCTGGTCATTCTGGAGCCGGAGGCTTGCCTGCCAGATGGCCATGGATGGGGCCAGCCATCCTGTTCCTCCCCACAAAGGCCAGTGGTGCTAGGTAGTTAGATGTGGCCTAGAAGAACAGAAGCTTAGATGCAGCCTTATTTTTGTCATTGAAAAATGGAGTGTCCCCATCATGAGCCTGCTCCTGCCCCTGATTTCAACCGTGGTGGTCTGACCCTGGCTTTGGAGAGCTGGGAGAGGCTTGGCATCTGCCAGAGTGGGGTCCAAGCTGAGGGAGGAAAGAGGAAAATGGGAGGTAAGGGTCCTTCTAAAGCAGCTCCTCTTCAGCTGGGCTGTAACTGAGTCCACTTCAAGGGAAGTACACTGGCAGGATTCATCAGGTGGCCCCTCAAGGTTGGGTGCCTGCTGTCCAGGGGACAGTCTAATCCAGCTGCTCATCTGGGCTTAAACCCAGAACCCAGGTCTGAAAGCAGAGTGTGTGTGGACTGCTGACTGGCCACCTCCCAGCCCTGTAGCATGCGGGCGACAGACGTGTGGCTTGGAAACCTCCCTCTGGGTCCCACCCTCCTGGCCCTGACAGCTGCTTCCCTTCTTGCCCAAGCTGTAGTAGGTGCAAGAACAGAGATCCTTTCAGACCTCCTCAGCTCAAGGTCGGAGGCTCACTGGGAGGAGGCATGAAGAGACACACAGTTCCTCTAGCTCCCCCCAATAGTCAATTCACATCTTATCCACGCGGGCATGCGCGACGCATAGGTTTTGACTCAGCCAAAGCCACATTGACTTGTACTGTTTCACTGTGACTGCTGGGGAGCCCTGAGTTAGCACTCTTCACCACTTTTTTCCCTACTGTAATCAGAGTGGATGCAGGGCTTGAAGGAGGCCCTGGAGCAGGACAGGCTGCCCCACTCCTCTCTCCTCCCCACTCCTGCTTTTGGAGGCTGCAGTCCTCGGAGCACCTGCTAAATTCTCTCACCTTCGGGGTCCAATTGGCTATGGACTGCCACATGGCTCCAGAGCAGGGCTGCTCCAGCCCGAGGGGCTGTCAGCACAGTGGGCCCCTTGGCTGATGCAGTGGGTATCAGTCTGGTGGGGTGTGTGGAAGGATGAACAGCCTACACAGTCCCGGAACAATTCTACACCACTCTGAATTCCTTGTGAAATACTGTTTCAATAACTTTGCTGGAATTGCTTTTACTTCCATGTTCATGTTCTACAAACCAGCAGGAGCCTAGTCAGAGAAAGAATGGCCCAAACACTTGGAGTTGAGAGGCCTGGGTTGACCATAAGTCATGCAGCTGCTGCATTCAGGACGAGGCACAGTCAGTGAAGATGCCAAACTCAACCTCTCCCCTCTCTGCAAGCCCTGTCCAGCCCAGGGGTAGCCACCCAGGGAAAGCCACCCAATCTGTCCTGCCCTCTCAATAGTGCCAGTGCCCATGCCCGGGTTGGGGGACTCTGTGAGTCCTCTGCCTCCTGTGCCCTCTTTTTGCATGCTTAGTGAGTGGCTGAGTGGAGACTGGCTTGCCAGATGTGTGTCTGCAGCTAGGAGCCCGTCTGGAGCAAGCTACCCCTGGCACTCACACTGGCCCCATTCCAACGATCCCATTTGGTTAGTCCTCAGGACTGATCAAGACCAGAACTCCAGGGCCAACTGGGGCCAGTGCCCAGCTGAGGCATCTTCTTTTCCAGGCTCAGATGCTTCCAAGAACGTTGGGTGAGTAGTCCAGCAGCCCAGGGACAGGTCTCAGGCTGACCCTGCATCCCTCAATTGCGGGGCAGCCGGGTCAAGCAGTCGTAGGCCCACTGTGTTGCTGAAGAACCTGAGTTCAGAAATATCCCGAGCACTTGTGGCCAGCTCCCCTCCTGGGGACGCTAGGATTTGAATCCGGGTCTGTGGCTCCGCTGCATCCTTAGGCTTTGCGACTTCTTCCTCTTTTCCCTTTGGGACAAACCTGGCGACCACAGAAATGTGGCATCAGTTTCCTTGCAAAACAGGGCACCACGCGGCCAGCGGCGCCAGAAAAGCAGTTCCTTGCAAAAGAGCCTCCAGCAGCGCGACGACCCTCCTGCTAAGTGCGGCGCCCCTGCCCCTGCCCCTGGTCCAGTCCTGCCCTGCTCCGCCCCCTCCACGCCCATCTGCGGCTCTCGGGACGCCCCCCACTCCGGCTCCATTTCCCCCACTCTCCCAGCCCCTGCGTGTCCTGTTGCCCTCTCCGAGCTTCCCTGCCCGCGCCCCCAGACCCCGGCCCCGCTCCCCGCTGGGCTCGCCCCTGCCCCGCTCCCTCGGCTCCCTCTCCATGGCCCGACTGGCCGCGCTGCTGCTGGCCGCTGCCCTGGGCGCGCTGCTCAGCTTCGTGCTGCTGGCCGCCGCGGTCGCCAGCGACTACTGGTACATCCTGGAGGTGGCGGACGCCGGTGACCGCACCGACCGCACCGAGCGGCTGTCCTCGCACTCGGGGCTCTGGCGCACTTGCGAAGGTAAGCGCCCCCGCCACCCCGCGCCCTTCCCCTCCGAAGTCCCTTCCCCCGCTCGTCCCTCCTCCCAGATCCTGCCCGCAGAGCAGTCTGCCCCTCAGGGGGTCTCTCAGCCCCCTCCCTGTCACTCTCGTCCCCCTCAAACTTGTGGTGACAGTTGGGCTGTGGAGAGGAAGGGACTGACTCCTCAGGGACACGCCGGGGCAGCGGGGCCAGAGTTGGGAAGAGGAAGGGGGGTTGGCACTGTGCGACCCCGCAAGGACCTCAGGTACCTTCCTCTGGAACCTGCCTTGGCTAGAGATGGGGTGGCACATCATGTGGGAGATTGCAGGTCACCCCAAGGCACGCATGGTCCTTCGGGTCGCTGGGTAATTTGGGACCTGTCCCTATTCAACCTCCAAGTCTTGGAAACTCAGATGGGAGGAAGCTGAGGCCTCCTGGTGAAGGAGGAGGGAGAGCAGGGAGGCTTGCCCGCCCAGCCCCAGCAGCTGCCCCTGCTCTGTGGCTCCTCTGCCAGGTGACCCCCACGGCCTTCCTGGAGGGGAGGGGTGGGGCTGGGTTGGGATCGGGGCCAGTGTGGGAAGCCCGGGTGTGGGTTGCTGGGGTCTCTGGAAAGGCTATGGGTCTAACCCCAAGTGACCAGGAGTTGCTTTTGTAGATGACTGCGCCTGGGCCCTCCCAGCCCCGCCTCTCCACTCTGGGGCCAGCCTGGGGGTTCCCCCCCCCACCCAGGATGAGCCCTGGGTGGCTGGGGCCTTGGGAGGCTGTGAGGCGTGTATGAATGTGACAGCACGCATCAGTGTATGAATGTGAGTGTATATGTGAGTGTGAGTGTGAGCTTGTGTGAGCACATGCTAGTATGAGCAGGCACATGGGTATGAAGGCGTGTGAGTAGAGAGCTTGCGTGCTGTTTGCCCGCGCGTGTGGCTGAGCGAGCACTGTGTGTAGGTGTGTGTGTGTGTGTGTGTGTGTGTGTGTGATGAGGAGAAAGGGCTGAGCGTGGTCATCCTCTTGACAATGGGTGTGTGTGCACACATACGTGCATTGTGTGGGTTGCATGTGTGTGAGTCAGTGCCCATAGGACCTGAGGAGTCTGGCCTTGTTTTTTTTTTAGTTGTAGTTGTACACAATATCTTTATTTATTTATTTTTATATGGTGTTGGGGATGGAACCCAGGGCCTCGCCCGTGCTAGGCAAGCGCTCTATGGCTGAGCCACAACTCCAGCCCCAAGTCTGGCCTTGTTATTGCAGCATCTCGCAGGAACCTTGCACTGGGCAGTCTGGAGGGGAGCCTGTCCAGATTTTTTTTTTTTTTTTTTGGGTACCAGGAATTCAACTCAGGTGCACTTAACCACTGAGCCACATCCCCAGCACTATTTTTTATATTTTATTTAGAGACAGGGTCTCACTGACTTGCTTAGAGCCTTGCTTTTGCTGAGGCTGGCTTTCCTCCTGCTTCAGTCTCCCACTGGGATTACAGGCATGCACCACCGTGCCCCACTGGAGTGTTAGAGATTTTAAACACACATCCATGCAGCTGTGACCTGTTCATTAAAAGAAATTAAATAAGGCTGGGGATACAGCTCAATTGGTAGAGTGCTTACCTAGCATGCATGAGGCCCTGGGTTCCATCTCCAGCACCACATTAAAATAATAATAATAAAATATATAAACCAAACAAGGTCTTGAACCTCTAATCCCATTTGAAGTCCCAGCCCCAAGTTCCAGGGGAGAGATTCCAATAGGGCCCCAGGGCCACAATTTGTCCACATGGCTCTGGGGGCTGCTGGGTGCCCATTGTCCCCAGCTCCTGCTTTGCACTTCGGCTTTCCAGGGCAGAACAGCTGCATACCCCTGATCGACCCCTTCAGCAGCAAGGGCCTGGATGTCTCCCCCTCAGTGCAGCACCTTCTCTGTGAGTCCGGGCAGTGCCATCTCTGCCATATCCCTGATTCTTTGGGCAGGGCTGGGACAGAAGCCACCCCACCCCAGCCCACCCCGAACTGCTTCCAATGGCTTGCTGTTACCAGGGGACTTTTCCATCCATAGCTCCTCTCTCTCCAGGTGGCTCCTTACATAGGCACAGCTCAGCCTGCTTGGCCTCCCTGTGCCCAGTTCCCTTTCAGTGGTAACTGCCCACCCCTAGTTGTCGGGGGAAGCAGGCGGCTGTGGCATGACTGGAGCTGGTGAAGCCCATGAGCTCCCCTTTTTGGACTCTCTGTTATCTTTCCAGATGGACAGTTGGTCAGCCTGGCACGCATCTCCCCCTGGTGGGTTAGCGGGCACATGTCTGCTGCCCCAGAGAGACTTGAGAGTAGGGGTGGGGAGGGTACTCAGGAGTCTTCCTCACCCTGGCCTCAGGAAGGCTGCACAGGACGACAGGTGACCACTGGGAAGGTCCTGTGGTTGCCATGGAGACAGGCATCAGCTCAACCCACCCCCACCCTGGCCCAAGCAGGTGAAGCAGCATATCACTGTCCTCTGGGCAGGCTGGCCTCCACCTTCCTGGGGGCAGGGTCCCTGTCTGCCTGCCCCTGAGCCCCCTCTCTCACAGCGCTGCACCGAGCTGTCATGGTGGTCCTTCCGTTGAGCCTGATCCTCATTGTGTGCGGCTGGGTCTGCGGCCTGCTCAGCTCCCTGGCCCGGAGTGTCCCTCTGCTGCTACTCACCGGCTGCTACTTCTTGCTGGGGGGTGAGTCCAGGGTTTCTGGGAGAGCCAGCTGGGACTGCAGATGCTGGGAGTGGGACTCTGCCTCCCTGCGCCCCTGCCCATCCTGTTCCCCTCTGGGCTACGTGGAGCCTGTGAACCCCCAGGCCACAGAAGTGCAGCAGAGTCTCTGGCTGGGACCTGTATGCAGGGCCGACCAGAGTGGAGCTGGGCCGCTGGAGCCTCCTCACAGTGACTCTAGGACCTCCTTCCCCAGGACAGGTGGTGCTGGGGCTGTGGGATGCCCCCAGCTGCTGTCCTCACACCCCACCTGTCCTGATGGGTGGAGTAGGGGAGGGGGCAGGGTTCTGACACAGGTGAGGCAAGGCCAGGCACCAGGTGGGGTGAGCTAGGGCATCAGGGTCCTTGGCATTGACCCCAATAGTAGTGCTGCAGCTGACAGGTGCTGGGCACTGGGCCCAGCACTCCCCCAGCACCCCCAATGCCACCTTAACAGCTAAGAGTCCTGAGGGTCTGAGAGGCCCCAGGACTCTCTAAAGTGAGAAGGAAAATGGTCCTAGGCCCCCTTCACTGTTTTTGGTGTTGTCTGCCCCAGCCACCAAACTCCCCTCCTGCTAGGCTGGTTGTCACTGAAGGTGGCTTCTTGGGGTCAGCCCTCAGTGGCCCCTGTCAGATGTGTGTTGGGTCTGGTGTCTTAGGCTAGTTCTGCTGTCATGGTGACAAAGACCAGACCATACGGGGCTGGGGTCCCCTCCCGGGCAGGCCTGCTTCCCTCCCCAGGGGATGCTGGACTCTGGTAGACCTTTATCAGGAGCAGGTGGTGGGCCTCGCTTGGAACTGAGGTTGGGGAATCATCAGCCTTGGTTTTGGCCACAGGACGGCAAGGTCTCCTTGACTTGAGAATAAAATTGGGAATAGTCAAAGTGTCAGCTGTGACCTTGACCAGGGTCAGAGTCTGCAAGGGTCCAAGATCCAATTTAGAGGACCTTGGGAACCCCAGAGAGGAGGAGTTGGCTTGGGACTGTACCCAGGAAGCCTGTGCTGACAAGAAACCTCTGCGCTGTGCCTGGAACAGGGCGCGGGTGCAGGCCAGGCTCTGGAGGCAGCTCCAGCCTCCTGGGGCGGAGGGTGCGCCACTCCAAGGAAGGGGAGTCCAGAGGGGCAAGGGTTTGAGGCTGGATGGCTCCACGGACATCCCGCAGCCCCCCTTGCTCAGGGCACTCCAGACTCGCTGCAGGTCACTTCTGGGAGCCACCTGAGTCTTGGCGCCAGCTCCTAGCCTGCAGGGCAGAGGGTCAGCTATGGACAGCAGTGCTGGGGCTCTGAGACAAGAATGTCACACCATGGGGACCTCCCTGAGGCCAGCTCGCCCCCTGCTACCCAATGCGCTGTAAGAAGGGGAGGGCAAGGTGGTATCTGGGAGAGAGGGCCCTGCTGAGTGTCCATCAGTGCTGACCAGGAGAGGGGTGGGGTGGTGAGCTGCCTGCTGGGCTCCGTTGACAGGACCTGTGGACCAGGGGTCCCCTAGGGATACCCTGAGCAGCCATCCTGCCCCTTCTCTCTCCAGGTGCCCTGACCCTGGCGGGGGTCAGCGTCTATATCAGCTACTCGCACCTGGCCTTCGCGGAGACTGCCCGCCAGTACGGCCTACAGCACATGCAGGGCGTCCACATCAGCTTCGGCTGGTCAGTGGCCCTGGCCTGGGGCTCCTGTGCCCTGGAGGCACTCAGTGGCATCCTCCTGTTGGCAGCCGCCCGAACCCTCAGCCTGAGCAGGCTCCCAGGTGCTCCCCACTCTGTGGCCATCTGAGCCGGGGGGCGGGGGCGGGGGCAGTGCTTGGCATCTCCTGGGAGTCCCGTTCTGCAGGCCTGGCTAGAGCCTGGCCTGGAACACCCTGGATGGCACACTGGGGAAGCCCTTGGCCAGTCATGCTGCTTTGCCCTTCAGATACAGATAGGATTTCCTCCTCTTAGAGACAAGGAAGTGTCTGGACAGAGGAGGCCAGGGCCGCAAGGCACATGGGTTCTGGGTGGTACAGTCGGGTGGGGGTACCTTGGGCTCCTGGGTTCTCTGGGGGTGTTCTTGTCTCTTGGGCTATGGCTGGCCCTCCTCAGCTACCCACATTCCTAATGACCTGTCTCGATGAGGGGTGGCTTCAGAGTGCACAGGTGTGTGTTAAATATGAGTACCCCCTGTTCCCTGGCCCTCACAGCCCTGTGCAGTGGTCACCTTTCACCCTGTGTTGCTGGGGGAGACCAAGGCCCAGACCACTCAGGAGCCAAGGGCAGGACCCAATGTTCTAGTAGGTTGGTGGGACCCCAGGCCTCTGTTCTGTCCCCATCCTCCAGAGCAGGGTTGTTAGGGAGGAGAGCAAGGACAGGGCGGAGATCCCTTTAGTTTGTAGGCAGACTGGCTCCCACCCCATGTGCCCTGCCCCTCCCTTGTCTTCCCACCAGGTGGGTGACTCTGCACGCACCCAGGTGGGGCATATGCTGCAGGCCATGGCTCCTGCTGGCTCTGACCCTTCCCTTCTGCAGCAACTTGGGGATGCTTGTACTGCCAAGGGCCCTGGGGCAGCTTGACTGACAGCTGTGGAGGTCCCAGAAGGGCAGGGTGGGGATGGGGAACTCTGTGCCATGGTGGGGGCATCTCCACCATGGGGTGCGATGTGGTGGGGTGAGCTGGAGCCATGCCTAGCCCGCCCTGTGAGTGACCTGGATGAAGGGGCTCCTCAGCCAGAAGGGCTGGGGCTGCCAGGTGGCAGGGGCCAGGCCTGGAGTTTGGGCTGCAGACTTGTTGAGCAATCGGTAGAGGCTTAGTGGGGTGGGGCCTGCTCACAGGCCCAGGCTGGTCCAAGGACGAGATGTGAGGACAGGGCCATCCAGCCCCCCCTGAGTCGTCTTGGGCCACAGGGAGGGGCAGGCATGTTTTTATGTAGGTGGACAGCTGGGCAGATGCAGGAAAAGGGGCCCCAGGGAAGGTCCTGGAAGCCACATTTCCTGTGCAGGGCCTTCCTGAGCTTTGGGCCATGTGAGAGGAAAGATGACACCTTTAGAGCTTTGACCTCCTCCCCTGTTTGTCCTTATTGCTCCTGAGGACATGGAGCTGGCACAGATTTGGCAGGGCCCACCGAGACAAAGAGCTGGGCAGTCGAGTGGGGCTTCTCTTCCTACCGTGTGTGAACATTGGCCACTCCCTGTGGGAACACTGTGCCGATCTGTCCTTGAATAAACCAGCTTGTGCTCTGTGCAGACGGAGCTCTGTGTTTTTTTTCTTAGAATTTTTCAAAATAGGCCCTATTTGTCCTTGCCTCACAGACGCTGTGAAGGTGAACAAGCACTGTTAGCAGTGGTGTGTGCATGTCTGTACCTCCAACGATGTCCTGTGTGTCTGCTTGCACAGTTGTCAAACTGTCCAGCCAGAGTCCTGTGTGCACATACGTGTGCATGTGTGTGCACATCCAGCCATGTCTCCTGCAGACCAGGGCCTCCTCCTCCCCAGGTCGGCTTGGGCTGGAAGGAGCTGGGCCTGCAGCTGGGTCTGGGCAGCTCCCTTACTCAGCAGGAAAGGTTTCTCAGCCCGTGTTTGCTGGGGAGCTCAGGGTGTGAGTTCAGCCTCAGGCTCCTCTGGTTGCAGATGGGCTTGGGCTCTGGGGCTAGGACTCTAGGAATACCCCCACAGGTGGCTGCAGGGACACCAGATTTGCTTAAGGATGTGCATGTGGCCTGCAGAGTGTGTGGGTGGGCATGGGGCTTAGCCAGGACACTTGAGCCCTCCACTCTGGAGGGCCAGTCTCTGTGGTGATTGGGTTGCACTGTTTCATAGTTCAGTGGCCAAGGTGAGAAGGCAGGTAAATGCCACTAGGGAAGGTTCAGTGGTGCTTCAGGGCTGCTGAGGACAGGTAACCAATGACAGTCACAATGCACGTGACTCGGGGCAAGAAGCCAAGGAGGGCAGGAGAGCACACCTCAGTTCCCACAGCCCTGTGCCAGGCCTGACGAGGAAGCCCCCTGGAGCTCCCCCTCCTCACACCCAGTGAAGCCGCATCCCAGCAATGGTCCAGCTCTGCTTCCTTCCTGAGACACATTCGTCCACTCCATCTTGTAGCTGGCTCTGTTGCCACTTATGCCCTGACCAGGGCCTGAGCTGGGAGTCTAGAGGCTGCCCTGAGCTCAGACCCACAGGTGTAAGAGCAGCCTCATAGTGGTGCCAGGGACCCTGGTGTGCCCCAGCCACACTGTGTCAGGGCTGACGGTGTCACGTGTGAAGTCACAGTGCACTGCAGCTCCTGCCTCTGTGCTAGCCAGCTTTACATCATTGCCTCACATACTCGACAAGAACAACTTAGAGGAGGAAACGTTTATTTTGGCCAGTTTCAGAGGTTCCGTCCGTGGTCAGCTGACTCCATGGCTCTGGGCCCGAGGTGAACAGAGCAGAATGGCAGCAACTGGGGGAGACTGCTCCACTCCTGGCAGCCAACAAGCAGAGGGAGGGAAGGGGCTGCAGGGAGGATGCACCCTTCCAAGGCACGCCCCAGTGAGCCACCTCCTCCAGCTGCCCCATCTGCCTGACAGGTCACGGCTCTCATAATCTAGTCACTTTACCTCTGAATGATCCTGCACTAACCCAGGAGGTCTTGGGTGGCACCTCATATCCAAACCATAACACTCCATCTCTTAGTTGCTGCTGGTGGTGGTGTTGGGGGGGGCAGCTGTTGTGTTGGGAGGGTGCTCCAGTAGTCCTGAGCAGATGCCACCCACACAGGAACCCAGGACTCCACCAAAGCCAGCTGCAATGTGCCAGCCGTGTGGGTGAGCCACCAGGGAAGCAGATTTGTCAGATAGTGTGGTCCAGGTGATGTCCCACCTGCAGCCTCAGGAGAACATCCAAGACAGGACCCCTTGGCTCAGCTACTTCCTGATTCCTAACCCACAGAAACGGAGAAGTAGTGAATTATTGTTACAGAAGGGGCTTCTGAGTTTGGGGGGATTTGTTGCACAGCAATGGCGAGCTGACACTCATCCCAGAGCAGGGCAGACGTGCGCCGCAGGCTGGGCGCTGGCTTTCTGTGATTCTCTGAGTTGCTTGTTCCTCAAGCACCAACGAGCAGTTCTGGGCCCTGGAGAGCCCCGGGTGCTGGGTCTCCAGACTGCAGATTTGGATCTGTCTGAGGGGTGGCGGGGATGAGGGACAGTCCTCCGCCACAGCCCCTGCTCTTCTCCCATTGCACATGCTCGCTGCAGTCTAAGATGTCCACCATGCTGCTGTCTCCGGCATGTGGGTCTTCGGCCACCTCCTGAGCACTGTGCCTATGTGTCTGGCAGCTTCCTAGCCACCTCCACTTGGGGTCTTGATTGAGCACTACTATTTTTTTTCTGTGTAAAATGGGTTTATTCATTAGAGATAAGTAAAAGGGGGGGGACCACAGAAACCTAGGACTTATTACAGCCTGTCCCTCACCAGGGATCAAGGAGGACGGGGTTTCATCTGCACTTACTCCACTCGCATCTCAGCTGAGGGACTTGAGAGAGGAGCCCGTACTGGGGTGACATGGGCTACAGTTCCAGAGGCCATCCTGTTTCTGGAGTGGACAGAAGCCTAGCACCAGCTGCTCTGGGTGGCAAGTCCTTATCTCCTGGTGTTGCGTTCTCAGTACATCCTCAAGTTGTTCTTGACAACTTGACGGATATCTTTGTCCTCATGAACTCTTGGGTGCAGCACGTTCTAAATGAGCCACCCAAGGACGATCCTTCAGAGCAATAAGCAACACACTGTGTAGTCGAGGCTTCAATCTCATAGCCCAGGGTCTATTTTCTGGGGCATTTTCCCACAAAGAACCTGTAAAGAACACCAGTCCTAAAAACACCCCTACACTGAATTTCTGGCACCTTTATCTTGAACTTTCTAGCCCTCAGAATTTTAAGGAATAAATTTATGTTTATAAGCCACCAGTTTATGGCATTTTGTTATAGCAGCCTGAATGGATTAAGACAACTTTAAAATAAAAGTATTGATTCTAGGGAAGGGATCATTTGAAGGTGGTTTTGAGAAACCCACCCCACTGTTTTTCTCTGTGAAAACATTCCCTAGAGAATGGCCTTCCAGGTCACTATTTCCATTTCAACATGGTGCTAGAATTTGGTGACCAGTTAATTTTTTTTTCTTTAAATATATAATTTTGAAAAGGCTGTCCAAATTATTAAGCAGGTAGATCACATTTGGTACCTATTTCATACCTTTTTTTGGTGGTAGACTATTAAGAATAAACCATAACATAATTTACAAAAAAAAAAATTCACTTTGCGATCAGCTGGTAAGCTGTATGTTTGGCATCTGAACAGCAAACTGGCACTCTGAAGCCAACATCACTACTTTATCTTTCCAAAGCCAGTCTCCTCCTGGGTTCCTACTAAAAGGAATGTTACAGTTTGGATCTGAGGTGTCCCCCAAAGATCCAGGTAGTAAAAGCTTCTGTTACAATGGGCTGTCTTGCCATAGGTCCAGATGGTCAGGAACTAGAACTGCAAAACTGGGCGCCAAAATAAACCTCTTCCCCTTATAAGTTGATGACCTCAGGTAACTGTTAGTGATGGAAAGCCAACCACAGATCTCCCTTCTCTCAACACACAGACTCATACACACACACAGAGATCCCAGAATGAAGCATGCACAAATATTAGTGGTAGTCATTCTTGGTTATAATACAAGCAATTTAAATTTTATCCTTCTTATATTGTCAAAAACTCTCTGTGCTTCCCCCTCTCGTTCTTGGTCAGTTTTACCAGGGTTTTCGATTTGATTACTCTTCACAGAATGACTTTTGGGTCTGTTTATGCAGATATATTTTTTCCTGTTCTTTCTCTTCCATGCATCTCTCTTGAGCTATGTCTTATCTGCTATCCAACCTATCCACTGACTTCTTTTTGTTTTTTTTTTCAGGGAGTGAACCCAGGGATGCTTAACCACTGACCCACATCCCCAGCCCTTTTTATCTTCTTCTTCTTATTTTTTTATTTTGAGACAGGTCTCGCTAAGTTGCTGAGGCTGGCCTCAAACTTGCAATCTTCCTGCCTCAGCCTCCCATGTTGCTGGGATTCCAAGCATGCGCCATCATGCCCGGCTGAGTTAATTTATTATATTTTTCAGTTTTAGAATTTCCATGTAGTCCTATGATTTCAAGTTGTCTGTCAAACTTTATGCTTTTGCCTTTGATTTCTTAAATATTTTATTTTAAATCCTGTGTATAACAAGTCCATTATTATGATCCTGTGTCTGTTTCTTTTGTCTGTGTTTTTCTCTTGATTTTCAGTCACATCTTGTCCCATCCCTTGCCTGGTTGTCTCTGACTGAGTGGGGACATCACATATGCATAACTGAGAAAACCGTAGGCTCTGGGCGGAGTCATCTTCCCCCAGAGACTGGCCTGTACTTCTCTGCCAGAGGCTCGGGGCACTTCCACGCCCCACTTCAATCCCAGCCGGGGCCCAGGGCCCCATCCTCAGGGCCCCAACTGCCTCAGCACAAACTCCCACTTCCTCAGTGCCAGCTCAGTGTCCTGGGTGGAGACGTCACGGTGCCACACGGCACGCACAGACTGCTCTGTCCAGGGAAACAGCAGCACGCGCACAGCATGGCCTGTCTGGGCCACCTCGTCGGGGCTCACAGCCTGCAGGCGCTGGCACAGGTCCGCAGCGGGCAGCCCGACCACCTTCACCAGCACCATGTTGGTCTCCACAGCAGCAGGATCCACAGAGCAGTGGGGCGATGCCAAGGCCTGGAGTCCTGTGCCAGGTCCTACAGTGAGTAAAGCCCAACCCCAGGACCCCGCCACAGCCCTACCACCCAGAATTGTCAGCTGGGGAAGGCAGAGGGGCAAGCAGCTGCCACAGAAGAGCACCAGTCCTGACATGGCCTTCGGGATCACAGGGACCTGTTTACTCATGTGACCTTAGATCAGTTGGCCTCTCTGGGCCTGTTTCCTTATTGCTGAAATGGGTCACCATGAGGACTCAGTTAATGGAGGAAAGACCCGAGTTAGAGGCCACTCTTTGATTCTGCAGAGAACCATGATCCTGTCTCCACCAAGCGCTTCCTAGCTTCGCTGCGTGGAGCAGGGCTGGTGAGGCGAGTTGGCCTGGGTCCCACCCTAGAGACTCAGTGGCAAAATCAGTATCCTGGAGGCTAGGAGGGTGCAGACCTGCTGGGGGCTTGGGCCTGCTGCAGGAGATCCCCCCACAGGTTGGAAGGAGTCGAAGGGGGGCACCAAGCACCTCTGGCAAACCTCCGCGCGTTCTCGTGGTCCCTCGGCAGCTCTTCCTCTGCCTCAGCCAGTCCCACAAGGGCGGCTGCGGCGAGCACCCCGGCTTGGCGCATGCCCCCACCCAGGGCTTTACGGAGGCGCCACGCTTCTTGGATGAAGTCCTTGGGCCCCCCGACCAGGGCCCCCACTGGTGCACCCAGACCCTGTGGGAAGAGAGGAGCCTCCTACTGACCCATCGGCAGCATCTGGAGTCCAGGACAGCTGCCAGGTCAGGAGCTCAGGGAAACTCAGCTCCTTCTGCAAGGCACCCCCACCCCATCTGTCTGGAGGACCAGCCCAGGGGCTTCCCCACCTTGGAGAGACAGAAGGACACAGAGTCACAATGCTCCACAATGCGGGCGGGGGGGACACGCAGAGCCACAGCTGCATTCATCAGTCGAGCTCCATCCAGGTGGACACGGGCCCCATGGGACTGGGCCAAGAGGTGTACCTGGGTGAAGTGCAGGCAGAGGTTAATGGGACAGGTGATAGGGCGGGTCTCTAGGAGGCCCCTGGGTATGGCTCTTGAAGAATTGAGGGGTCTGGGGCCACCTGAGTGGTTCTGCTGTGCTGCCTGAGCCTCGGTGGTGCTTTAACTTGAGTGGTTTCGGTGCCCAGGATGGAACCCAGGGCCGTGGGTGTGCCAGCTTCCTGCAGTACTGGGGACTGAACCCACTCAACTCTTCTTTATGGAGCACTTGCCAAGGGCCAAGGACATAACGTCTCATTTTGTTTAAGCTGCATGACAGCAGCAGGAGGCCCCAAGGAGTGCAGGACATAGAGGTAGGTGGCGTGCCCACACAGTCACTTGGGGAGCAGAACTCAGCTGCGGCAGCCTCCTGGCCCCCTTGCTACTGCTAAGGACCAGGGGAAGTTGGAGGCACACCCAACAACTGCTCACTCCACAGCCTCACCAGGAGCATGTTCCCGGGCCAGGGCAGCTGTCCTCAATGCTGCTTTGGAACTTGGCTCTCAGCAGAGTGTGTGTGTGTGTGTGCACATATGTTGATGCCTACATGTGCACACAAGTGACATCTTTGTTCCTAGGCAAGTGCAGGGACTAGGGCCCCTAAACTGGACAGTGATCCCCTTTGTATCTTTAGCCTAGGGCCGACACATGTTCCCCCATGATAGCCTGCCCACTAACACACTAACAGGTACCTGTGACATGTCAGATAGGGGTTCAAAACACACAGGAAGCCAGGAGCAGGCTGGTAGTGGGGGCAGTGGCGGGGCAGAGCCTACCTGGCGGAGGTAGTCGATAGGGAGGACCCGGCCCCCTGAGCTGCTATGTGTGTTCTCTAGGCATACAAGCTCACAGACTGGGTGATATGGGTTCCCAAGGCCCCGAGTGATCACCCTCTCCAGCTCATCCAGGTCCAGGGTCCCATGGGGCAGGTCTGGGAGCAAGTGAGAGTGCACCCCAGCAATCTGCAGGTGAGGAAAGGGGTGAAGGATCAGGCAGGTCCAGGGGTCCAGCTGTACCTCCTGGTGGATGGGAGGGGTCCTCTGGAATAGGGAGCCAGACCCCAATCTTGTGCCTGCTCCTTCCCATCTCGGGGTTCCAAGGACTTTCCCTTGCTCTGTGCATCCAGACACAGCATCCCAAGTGAGGAGGGTGTAGGCCCCTGGCCCGTTTTCATTTGAGATGTTTCCCTGTTTCCTCTGGCTCCTTCCTGGAGTGCCAGTGTTCCAAGTGCTCACTAGGGGGCAGCAGGGCACCAAGCACCAGGCAGGCAGCCGCTTCTGCCCCCACCGGCAAAGCTGAGACTTGGTTCTCCCTCCCACCTTCCCGCCAGCTTCTGTCAGGCTCTCCCCTTTCTCTGCAGGTTCCAGCCAGGTGCCTAGGAAGCAGCACCTAGGCCACCTGTACTGGCTAGAGGATGTCCGGGCCCCAGGGGAGTGGTGCCTGGTCCTTACCTGAGCCACCCCGCCCTGCTCATAGACGTGGAGGTGGCACTCCTGCCCAAGGAGGAGCTGGGAGCCCCGGCGCCGGCAGTGACCCATCACTGAGACAAACGGAAGGAGGGTAGGACTTGGCTCTGAGTCCTAGGGTGCCCATGTGCTTCATCTGGGCTGAGCCCCAGGGCCACAGCATATGCCAATTAGGAAACAGCACCCCTTTGAGACACCTTACTGCCACGTGCGGGATAAACAGCTTGGGGATGGGATGCTGTGAATGCCGGGCCACACATCCATGACCCCACCTGCAGAACCTCTCCTGCAGGGAGAAGCTGGCCACTCTGTTGTTCCTTGGAGACTGGCAGCTCAGGGCACTAGCAGCCACCAGGCCCTGTCAGCAAACTGAGGGCACATGCACACAGTGAACCGGGAGGGGTGCTTACTAGGTGAGGCAAGTGGAGGGGTACCACAGGACAGCCTAAGGGGTGAGGATGGTGTGGTTACAGGAACTGTGGGGCCAGAGCACCCTGGGATGAGAAGCAGAGGAGGAACAGGGATCAGCCCACCTCAGTCTCTTCTGCTCCCCTCCTCCGCCAGGACACCCCAATGTTGCACCCAGCAAAAATCCAGGAAAGTTGTTCATGAACGTCACAGCCCTGGATACAGAGGGGCAGTGGGTACATGGAGGACCTGGGAGTCAGACTCACCACAGATGAGGTTGGCCATGGTATTGGTGGGCACGAACAGAGTCTGCTCCACCCCCAGCAGCTGGGCGGCCCTTTCCTGCAGCTCTGAGGAGGAAGGGGAGGGTGGGGCAAGGAAAACTATCAACAATTACCACCGAGCAGTTGGGCTGGCTGCACAGGCACAGTTCAAAGTACTTTTGTTCAGATGTGAGCCCCTTTGCCCGAGGCCAAGGTGAGTGGCCAAGTGGGCGTGGCTGGAGCTCCAGTCTACCAGCTGCACAGTCTGTGGCCTGGGTAACCACACAGCTGGGTCTGGAGGCTCCTCAGTCAACCCACTGCACCTCACCTCCTCCTCAGCCATGGTTCCCCCCACCAGGCCACTGAAACTCTCTTGTGGTTTGAACCCTGTGTTCCACCCCAACCTCACACCTGTCTTGCTTCCTTTCCCATCAGTTCCAGCAGGTGAGGCCCTGTGGTTTCTCTGCTGACTTCCTCTACCCCTAGGCGGGGAGCCTCTAGGGAGCTGGAGGGGGAACAAAGGGTACAGCTGGAGGACAAGTGGGGCTCCTGCTCTAAAGCCCATGCTGGTTCTCTGACTGTGGCATCAGGTCCAAAGGCCCTTGGCATGACATTCAAGGCCTCTGCCCCATTGCAAAAAAAAAAAGTGTGCATGTGCTTCTGAAGCCCAGTGCCTGGGAGTCAGAATTCCCTTCCCTGCCTGGGGCACAGGTGCCATCCTTAAGAAGCACCTCTGGAAAGTCCCCCTTCCCTGTGAACCATGCACTTGCCCCTAACCCCTGGCTCCCAAGGAACGCTTCACAGACTGCTGTCAACACAGCACCTCCCTGGCTCTGATGTGGTGACTGGTTTACACAGCAGGCTGCCTGCTGAGCAGTGCCTCACATCTTTGAAACTCCTGGTAACAGCAGGTGTCTGCCCAATGCATGACCAGTCCCAATTACCCAGTGACCCTACACACAAGCCCTGGGAGTTTAACTGGTGACTAGTTCCTGGCCCAGTGAAGGGCTGTACTCAGCCCAGCAGAACCAATGCAGTGGTTCACTATAAAACAACTCTCAGCTCAGGGTGGGTTGTGGGTCCCTATATCCTTAAACCACCCTTTGGATTATTAGATCCCAATCCTAGGGAGGTGTAGCCTATGGAAAACCCCCCTTTCCAGATTGGTTTTGCTTGTCCTCATGGAGGCAGCAGAGGGTGCAGGAGAGTGGTTATGGATTTTAGAGTCAGAAGAACTATATTCAAGCCAGGCATGGTGGCACACACCTGTAATCCTAGCGACTTGGGAGGCTGAGGCAGGAGGATTGCAAGTTTGAGACCAGCCTGGGCAACTTAGACCTATCTTAAAATAAGAAATAAAAAGGGCTGGGGACATAGCTCAGTGGCAAAGATCCCGGGGGTTCAATCCCCAGTACTGCAAACAAAAAAAAAAAAAAAAGAAAAAAGAAGAAGAAGAAAAGAAAAAGAACTAGATTCAAACCCTGGTTCTACCATTGACTAGAGATGGAGCTGGGTGTCAATGCACTGTGCAAACAAGTCACTGTGTTATCCTATTAAAATGCAGATTCTAGTTTAGCAGGCCCAGTGTGGGACCTGCATTTCCAACGGGCCCGGGGGATGGGCCAACAAGCTCTCAGAGCGCGCAATGCTCGGCCTGAATGTCAGCTGAGCGCCCAGTCCTGGCCGCCCTCCCCGCCAAGCACCATGGACAGCGCCCTGGGGTCATCCAGAGACGACCCCCCGCCGCGGGCCTGCATGCCCGGCTCACCGCGGACGGTGGGGTCCTCGCCGTAGTCGTCGTCCCCCACGACCGCCTCGGCCATGGCGCGCCTCATGGCCGGCCCGGGCCTGGTCACCGTGTCGCTGCGCAGGTCCACCACGTGGGCTGGGACCCCGGCCCGGCTTCCCAACCATCGTGCGCAGGGCGCCCCGAGCCTCAGGGCCGCGGCCCGGGCCAGTCCGGAGAGCATGGCGGGGGCAGCGCCCGTCTCCCAGCCCGGCGGGAGTGGCTGCCCTCTCTCCTCCCGGGGAGGCCGTCTAGAAGAAGCGGGCCGGCTAGCGTCCAGACTGCGGCGGCTGGCTGACCCTGGCCGGACAGGCCGCTGGGCACGCTGGGAGTTGTAGTCCACGCTGCTCGCGGCGAGCCCGGGAGGGCCCCGTTGCATGCCGGGAATTGTGGTTCGCCGCCCGTCGCCGAGGAGACCAAAGGAATGGGGCTGCTCCTGTGGCTGTCGCAGTGGGCCTGCACCTCTCCAGACACTAGGAATTTAACTCAGTCAAACCTCCCAACAGCTCTGGGAAACACTTGTCCCCGTTTAACAGATGTGGACACTGAGACTCCAGAGGCTAACGAACATTTCTAAAGTCACTTAGGTCAATTGCTGGGATCCAGGGATCACCTGTCTTCAGAGGACAGCTCTGCAGCATAGTGTTATGTTGCCCCTAAATAGAAGCCTCATAGGCTGGGGACATAGCTCAGTTGGTAGAGTACTTGCCTCATATGCACAAGGCCCTAGGTTCAATCCCCAGCACCACACACACACACACACACACACAAATAGCTTCTTATTGTTTACTGTTTTCCATATAGATTTACTGAGCGCCTACTGTGTGCCAAGTACATCTAGGTAGGTGCCAAGCAGGGAACACAAGGGTGGTACTGGGTCCAGGCATACAACCTCACCAGGCATAATGGGTGATTGCCAATGCAATGTCTAGGAAAAAACCCTCTTCCACACACCCCTGCCCTGGGGGACAGGTGCCTCCACAGAGGCGGGGTAGTGCTGAAGGATACCAGTGGCTGTCTGACCGTGTGTGAAGATCAAATCCTTCACTCAGGTCTGGCGTGCAGCTCAGAAGTAGAGCACTTGCCTAGTACACGTGAGCCCTGGGGTTCTGTCTCCAGCACTGCAACAAACAAATATCTAAAAACCAACTCGACTGCCAGCTGTGGGACCTTGAACAAGTCATGCTTCCCTTTTCTCAACTGAGAAATGGGCTGCTGTGGGTATCAGTGACTGTGTATGTCTAGCCATGGCCCTTGTGCCTGGCTCATGGGAAGCTTTATGTCAGGAGTATTCATTCTAGTGTTGTTGTGGACTCTGAGACTGTCATTATTGATAAGGCTCATGGTCTAGAAGCCCAAGGCACTGGGGCTAGGTGCTGCTGTTGGGGGGTGCACCCTGACTCAGCTCAGACCATGGGTGACCTTCCCTCACAGGGAGGACAGGGCCCGGCCCCACTCAGCAGCTCCCTTTCCTAGGGCACAGGCCTCGGGTGTTGTCTGTCTCCAATGGGAGAAAGTCTGTCTGACAAGAGCCCCAGCTGAGCAGAGGCCACACCAGCTGGGGAGCCCCCTCTGCCCCCAGGGTGAAGAGCAGGCTCATCTGTCAGCCGCCCACCAGGCCTCCTCCAAGCCAGGTCTGGAGACTTAAGGAGAGCAGACACAGCCTGCCCTGCTCAGGCCCCTGGGGTGGAGGAGTGCCAGGAGGGAGCAGCTGGGGGGACCTAGTCTTGGCCCTAGAGCAGGCCTCCTGGAGGGAGCAGCGACTTGGTCCAGTGTGAAGACAGAGCAGGGCATTCACCAGGAGAAGGAGGAGGGAGTTCTTTGGGCAGGGAACAGCATGGGCAAAGCCTTGGGCAGGCTGGTGCTGGCGAGCCCAAGGCCCCAGAGCGGCTGGAGAAGTGAGAGGGATGGGAGATGGAGCCCAAACCCTACCTCCAGGTTGAGACCAACTCTCAGGGCTCAGGCCTGGCAGGGCCATCCTGAAAGGGTGGGATGGCAAGTCCCTGTTGGTCTGGGACCCCAAGGACCCCTATAGAAGGAAAGGGATCACCTCCCTCCAGAGAGCAGGAGTCCCCTGGTATGACCTGCACTCTCCACAAATTCGGCCCTTAGAAAACAAGGTCCTTATCTCATTGTCTGGCCCAGCCCTTCTGCTGGGAAGTAGGGGTGGGGAGCAGGGGCCTCTGTGGGAAGGAAGGGAGGTGGATGGGCTGGAGCAGCCATGCCGCTCTCAGGGGAGCCGGGAGACAAAAGAGTGGGTCCCACGCATCTCCTAGCCACGGCCCAACCACAGAGTGGCCTCCTGTTTGAAGGTCCTTCCCTGTTTGCAGAACCTTCTGGCTGGCAGTCTCCCTGCTTGCAGGCTTGGGAAAGGGACAGGGCAAGGAGGGCAGAGTAATCCTTCCCTGGGGCTAGTGGGGACAGAACAGCTTCCATCTGCCAGGTCCTCCTGGTCCCCAGGGCACCTACACCAGCCCCACTGTGGCCCAGTGGGGCCTACAGTGTGAAAGGAGCAGCAAGGGTGGACTGTCGTGGGGGAAGGCAGGGGCCTGTGGCTTCCGTGAGGCCTACTGGGGAGGGCTTCCCAGGCTTTTCCCCAGGAGGCCATCTGGGCTCGTGTGTGTGTGTGTGTGTGTGTGTGTGTGTGTGTGTGTGTGGCGTGCATATCTGTGGGTTCATACGTGTGGGTTGTGTATATGTTCATGAATGTGGGTGTGGTATATGTGTGTGCATGGCATACATGTGTGTATCCCTGTGTGTGTGTGTGTGTGTGTGTGTGTGTGTGTGTGTGTCCCTGGCTGCTCCTGAGATCTGAGTCAGGTTCTGGTGGCAGCTGGGGACAGTCTCAGCTCCCAGGCTGGCATGAGAAGGCTCCACAGAGCCAGTCTTCTTGTCCTCTTGCTTTGGCTCTGTGCTGACCCCTTCCCCTGTCTCTGTAACTCTGTCCTGTCTTCAGTTCTCAGCAGGAGAATTCCCACCACCAGAGGTCGAGGTGTCACCTCCTGCCCCCATGCACCAGCTGTCCCCTTCTCTCCCCACAGCCAGTGCTTGGCCAGGCCTCCTTGGGCTCTTGCTGGCCCAGCAGGTTCCTGGCCTCAGGGACTGGCCCTGCAGCCCAGCCCACTCCTGCCACTGTTTCTACCCCTTAAAGTTCCATGGCTGTCCCCGGGCCCTGGCCTGTGACATTTCTGTTCCACAGGTCTGCTAGAACTTTCCCCCACACGTGGGTCTCTGCACCTGCGTTCCTTCTACCCAGAAACCCCTTCTCAGGCTTCAGGTCTCTGAGAGGCCTCTTCTTCCAGGAAGCTCCTGGCCCCAGCCCAGCAGGGGAGGGAGGTGGCCCACCTGGGGAGGCCTGCCGCTCCTTTGGTTCCCACTGCTGCGGACACAGTCGTTGTGGGTTTACTGGGTGAGCTCATGCTCCAGGTACACAGGGGCCCAGGGCTTCCATCCTTGAACACAGGGCCTGGCTCCAGGATGTGGTAACCATCAGCTGAGTGGTTGACAAGGGAGGGACACAGCGTCTGACATCCCTGACCCTGGGGGCCCCGCAGCATGAGTGGAGAACTGGTGCAGGCCCTGCTTTGGAGGAAGGTCGGGGACCTTGCGGTTGCTCCCTCGCTGGCCGTCTCGACCTGTTCGTCAGTCCCAGGGCTGGGGGAGACGTCCCGGGCTCAAGGAGCCTCAAGATGGGAGTCCCGGGTGGGCTGCTTCCACAGCCCCCTCGGGTATGGGCACCTGCACAGGCGGCCCTGGCTCTGGGGTATGGGCACATGCAGGCACACGCGCGAGCGCGTACACACACACACACACTCACACACACACACACACACACACACACACTCTCCCGGCTGAGTTCAGTGTGCATATTCCTGTAAGGCTGCTGGCAGGAAGTGAGCGGCAGGAGGCTGCTGCTGGGAACCGGGCTGGCCCTGTGGAGATAAGGAGGCAGCAGATGGAGCCGGAGATAGCGGGTCCTGGTAAACAGGGCCAGGGAAATGTCCTTTCCATCCCATCCCCTTGGCTCTGAGCCCTCTATAGGGTGCTGGCCTGCACCCAGACCTGATAGCCTGTGAGTCTGGGGACACGGTCTGTACCACTAGCATCACTTCCAGCCTGGGAGGCTGGCAGGAGGGCAGGGCACTGGGCCTGGGGGCATGGTTGGGCATGGCGGTGGCATGTGCTGGTGCATGTGGGGGCCACCCCATGTCAAGGCCATCTGTGCTTTGGGAGGGTGGGAGGGGAAAGGACCGGAGCTCCCCAAGCCCCTGCATCTCCCCGCTGGTCAGGGAAGACTGACAGCAGGTCAGAGCGTCTGCCTTGCACCACCGGGGGAAGTCCACAGAGAGGTGCTCTAAAGGTGGGGGCACCTCAGGGGGCGAGCAGCCGGGCACAGAGCAGGCAGACTACAGACTGGTCACCGCGGGCTTCTGCTCGTGGAGCTGGGGAGCCCCTGCCCCGCCAAGGATGATGACCCCCACCCCATCTGCCGGCGGCAGTGAACTCCAGGCACTGGGCCGGGGAGAGCGCCAGATCCCAGAGTTCTGCACAAACACACTTGTTATTCTTTCTAAATTATGAGATGCGGCACTCCTACAGAAAAGGGCAGGAAGCATTTTTGTACGGTGTTACAAATAAATATAAATATCAGATGAGCTCCTACACGGTGGCCACTCATATCAAGATTAGACCAGGGCCGGGGTTCCAGAAACTTCCTTCCCATCCAATCCTCCCTCTGCCAGAGTAGCTGCTTGCTCTGATGGACATTCCCTGCCTTTCGTATGGCTCTGCCCCCTGTCTGCATCCCTTTGTGTGTGTGGAGTGTGGCTGGCTTTGAACTCTCTGGGAGCGTGGATTCTTTTAGGTCTGGCTTCTCTGAGTAGACACTACTTCCCCAAGAGCCATCTGTCAGGGCTGAAGTTCCTGCTTTGCCACCACCTGTACCTTTCCACTGTTGTTTGTGACACTCTATTTCTCCATTCTCTGGGCTGTGTCTACACTGGCTCTTTACAAACAATGCAGCCAGGAGCATTCTTTTTGTTTTGTTTTTGTTTTTTGGTACCAGGGATTGAACCCAAGGCCACTTAACCACTGAGCCACATCCCCAGCCCTTTTTATTTTTTGTTTGGAGACAGAGTCTCGCTAAGTTGCTTAGGACCTCACTAAATTGCTGAGACTGACCTTGAACTTGCGATCCTCCTGCCTCAGCCTCCCAAATTGCTGGGGTTACAGGAGTGCACCACCACACTGGGCCACGTTCTTATTCCTGATTCCTGGGCTC